ATTTGAATGGCCTTCTAGAAGTTTAAAGGACATAATAGTTATCACGGCTCATACCTAAGGCACAGCAGAAAGAATAAAATATTCCTTGGAGTCAATGTTCACTGCAAACTCCAAAAAGGCCCAGAGAGACTGCCCTTAACTGAGACTCCTCAGCATGAAAGAATCTCATAAGGACCATCCCAAACTGAAGCTTCTGTGGCTTCTTATTGATGGAACCAGGAAGCAAGGATAGAAGACAAAGAACTTCTATGCATGAATGCATTTAGGGGAAAGGGGAAGGACGGGAAGACGGGTAAGGTCAGGGTAGTGTGTTTCATGACTGATCTTGGGAGCCATCTAAGTAATAAATCAGAGCATGGGGAAGATGAGGGCCAGAGCATTCACACTTTCAGGCAATATTTGGATACTTCTTAGACTTGTGTCCCTGTAGGCTATGTTTTAATTTCTAAGTATGCATTCCAGAAGTTTTGGGCATGTGGCTCCAAAACCTCTTTACCTCTGCATATCCATCTCATACATATCTCTGGCCAGTGCCCCCACAGGTAGTTATTAAAATGCTGTAGTCCTTTACCAATATGAATTAAACTTTGGAGCACCTAACAATTCAACAGTAGTAGATAGACTGAGTTAAGCATTAATTCCAAAGCTCAATTTACCAAGAGCTCTTTCTTTCTTTCCAGGCATTTCCTACATATGATGTGATGATGGAGATGGAATATCTGGACATGGTGGTGAATGAAACTCTCAGATTATACCCAGTTGCTAACAGAATTGAGAGGATGTGTAAAAAGGATTTAGAGATTAATGGAGTGTTCATTCCCAAAGGGACAGCGGTGATGGTACCAAGCTTTGCTCTGCACCGAGATGCAAAGTACTGGCCAAAACCTGATGAGTTCCAACCTGAAAGGTACAAGAACCTTAGAAAAGGGAACCCACCCTGAACCTGGTTGGTCTCCAGGCATATTATGGTGTCTCATAATGGAGATAACAGACATGTGATTGTGCAATCATTTATGTGTTATTTTGTTTTTAGAATTTTAAAAAATGACAGTGATAATTATTAATCTCTGATATCCTTTCATCAGTAAAAATAAGCATATGCTTAATTCACAGTTCCAACAGCTTAAGATAAAGCCTATTAACAACGTTATATAAGGTTGGTGGTGAAATCTGGGGACAGAGTGCTTATGAGACGTGCTTTAGGCCCTGGATTCTATTGTAAAAAAGTGGATGTATGTCCTTAAGGACATATTTCTGTGCACTTAGAAATTAAAAGAAAAAGCTAGTGAAATATCATGTTGTGCTTTGAACTGCTACATAGTTTACTTATAGTAAGTGAAAAACTGTGCATTACTTTATTATATATAATGATATGGATACACACCCTTGTGTTTCCCTCCATGTTCCAATATCTTGATATGGATGTGTGGCTTCTCTATTGAAAAGTTACAGTGTCTTTGGCATATTTTCTAGAGTGTAATTGTCATAATTTATTAGTCAAATTTCCTCACATGAGAAAGAAGAGGATTATATGGTAAGTCTGAGTATTTCAGACCCTGGGTAGAGATTGTCCTAGATGTATTTTACATTCATAACTACAGCACACATTTAATGGCCTTCTAGAAGTTCAAAGAATAGAATAGTGATTGCAGTTCACACCTAAGACACAGCACAAAGAGTTGTGTGTGTGTGTGTGTGTGTGTGTGTGTGTGTATTATGGTGACAATAAATTTGGTGATTGTATGCATCTTCTGTAATTTACTTAACCACTATGTTTTTTCAGGTGTTAGGGTGTTTATTTCTTTCAGATTTTCCCTTTACTTCCCCTAATTTACCACCAGCTGTAGGAACTATTTCTGTCTCCCATTCATTTAGCCATTTGTTCCTATTTCCTCCAGTGTGAATGTAAAAATGCAGGCTGAGAGCCTGACCAGTTTGCCTCCTTCAGAATTCAACCTTCCTCATAGAGGAGAGAAGACAGAGGAGAGCACACGTCTTCTGGTCTTATCTCTGGTTGCCTTCTTTGGCCAACGCTCTCATACACTCTGCAGTTGGTGACTCTTTCAAAATCAAGTCACCTGCTCTTCAGATGTCTGAGAAATTCTTCCTTGGAAATGTCTTTTTTCAGCTTTCAAATTTGAACTTTTAGGAGTACGTGTTAGCAGTGCATAATGATTACATTCATTGTGGAAAGTTAGTACATGTACATATCACCTTAATACTTTTTTTCAACCCC